TTAGTCCTACTTTCTATAGAAATGTTAAAATATTGTATTTAAATTTTGTGGTGAGTGAGGTTCACAACAGGTAACTTCATTTCAATTGAATTGTACAGAATAGCCTAATTCACTAAAATCATAATTTATCAATGTGTAGAGCAATTGCACATTCAATGGCTCTGTGGTTTAATTAATACTTACCGAAAATTGGAATTTTTGTCTTGGTTTCGAGTTCATATTGCTCGGCAGGTGCTGGTAAACTTTGCGAGAATGGGCGTGGAATCTTCGGGAACGAACGTCTCAACTCGTTATTTTCTCCGTTTCCACCATGAGAACTTTTTGACAGTCGTGGTGCTGCTAAATTACTCATAAAAGGTACCTCATCTGCAAGTCGTGGTTGAGTTGAGGGTCGCCCTTGTCTGCTATTAGAGCCTCTTATATTTATATTGTCAGGGTTACCAAGCCTAGAAAGAGGGTGTTGAATTTGAGGTAGATTTATACCTGATCTTGCACTCATCTGGGTGGCCGGGCGGCTCTGTATGCCTGCCTGGGACATAGCTGAGTTTACGAAGCTTCGAAATCAGGAGAAAACTTTTAAAATCCGTGAATACGATCAAAAACCCAACTTACGGCACCCGTAATGAAACTTCGATGGGTGTACTTAACCAAGCCTGTCAGTGTGTATGCGAACACTTTAGGTCTGGTCATGCTGTTTTGTCGTTAAGGGCAACGGAGGGCAATTCACATGTAAATTAATGCTTCAATGATCTCCCCGTCACGTGACTAGAGCTGTTGCTATCTGCTTTGTTGTCAATATCGGGGCCTTTTGACTACCGGATTACCGATAGTACACTTGTATTACGTCTGTATACAATATATAGTTCATGATTAGACATTTAATAAGTTTTTAATATCATTATCACGCTGATTCAATAAAATGAGTTTATATAAACACAGACTTTGAGATCGTCGTGATTGGCCGCAACGATCGGCCTATGGTGTCAGGACAGCTCAGTTTAACTTTACGTCCCCCACTATGATCACTGTTCTGGTGAATTTAATTAGTTGTTTGTTTCGTCAGTCTAGACATCTAGTAACAAACGTAACAATGAAATTATATATAGTATAGATAAATATACCGAGATTGATAAAGGCCTTGAAATGCGTAGGGTATTATGATATTTTTGTGGGTGGATCCATGAGGAGGAAAAGTTTTTAGAATGTCCTGTTTTAGGCTTTGATTTCCATACAATCGCTACCGGTACATGTTATCGCCTACAGCTTTCAGTGAAGCCTGGCTTTCCATAAATCTTGGTTTCTATAGGCCTACAATCGCTACACGTTATCGTCGACAGCTTTCAGTGAAGCCTGGCTTTCCATAAATCTTGGTTTCTATAGGCCTACAATCGCTACAAGTTATCGCCTACAGCTTTCAGTGAAGCCTGGCTTTCCATAAATTTTGGTTTCTATAGGCCTACAATCGCTACACGTTATCGTCGACAGCTTTCAGTGAAGCCTGGCTTTCCATAAATCTTGGTTTCTATAGGCCTACAATCGATACACGCTATCGCCGACAGCTTCTGGTGATGCCGATTTTCCCGGTTGAATGAGGGAACCTCCCCGATTACGTCGGGAGACTGCTACGCACTACAACCAGTGTGACCACTCACAATTTTTGATGTACCCAATGTCTGGGTCAAAATTACCCAAGCTTCCTGAAAATGCATTAAAATTTGAAAAATACGTGTTTTTTCGCATGTATAGTTTCCCTTTTAGTTCAATTTATAAACCAATTTTTTATTGTAATTGTTTGTGTTAATTATTAAAATTAATATTCATGAGGTGATAATACAGATCGAAAAATACGCCCTCAGCCGGCCAGTGTTATCAGTAGATCAGTGATCAAGTTTTATTATGTAATGCATTAATTAGGCAAGATCAATGGCAACACAAATCACAAATAAACAATTCTGAACCCAAGTTTATAGCAATTAACAGTCAATTAACAATGTTATGTGCACTTCGTTGAGTTTTGCTTACTTGAATGGACTGAAATATACTTTGTTACTTCTTAATTCTTCCTCTATGACAAATTTTTCTTAGTAAAAATAAAATACCCAAGGATTTGAACGGAATACCCAAGAACCCAAGACCAAGTCAAAATACCCAAGATCTTGGGTAAATACCCAAGCAGTAGTCACGCTGACTACAACGATTTCTCTGAAAGCCGACAGCGATTTTAAGGAAACCAGACGCTTTTTTTGACGAATCTGATTGGTCAGACGAATCCGTGAGAGCTACGTAGTGCAAAGACTGCAGAAAAAAAAACCCTGTAGCGACAGGTAGCGATTGTATGAAAACAAGGCTTGAGGCCAGCGTTTGAATCGGGGAACCTTCTCGATAGTGTAAGGGACTCCATACGCAGATACAACGATTGCACTGACATTCAAGACCTACCTTTTCAGGACCCGTGATTTTTTTTTCTTACAATGGGAAAATTAGAAGTCGGAAAAGCTCATTTCCTGCCATCTAGAAATCTAAGTTTTCCCGCCGGGGCAGGACGACCCCGAACCCTTTTCTTTTTGGGGTTCATCGATTCATAGAAAAAAAAAACGTACAACTACTCAATATGTTTGACGTATAACACACATAATAGGCTTATTACTGTAAGAATGAGAAAGTTAACCTGACTGTTTTCAAGAGGGGAAAACCTTGAATCTTGAAGAACTTTAAAGTCATTAAAAGACACCTCAAAAGTCGGGAAAGATTTCCCGCCATTTAGGAATCAGAATTTTCCCTGGGAAGACCCTCCCCTTCCTTTTTGGGGTTTTGGAAACATTTTCATCACCCCCTCCCTACATTTAAAACCAGACCCCCCTCCCCCCCGCCCGT